GATAATTAATGGTAATTTAGTAATTACAGGTGAATGCCAAGAAAATAGTGCAGCAGCTGCAAGGCGTTGTGCAGAAAAATATTGTAATCGAAATACACCACGCATACGATTATTTCTTTCCATTGATTGTTGTTTACGAGATGTAGGTACATTGCGACCACAACTTGTTGGTAATAATGGTCGGCCAAAAGTAGATTCAAACGATGATGAGATTTTGGAAGCAATTGAAGAAATCCTTGGAAACAATACAAGAGTAGTAGTTTCTCAATTTATTAGATGTTTCTCACATGATGATTTGGATAAGATTCAAGGAAAACCAGTTTCGTCCATATCACTTAACACCCGTTCAAGAATTACTGGATGATGATTATCCTAAAAGAATGGAGTTTTGCGATGGGTTTTTAGCGGAAATACACAAAATGTCAATTTTATTAATCATGTTTTGTTTACCGACGAAGCTGTCTTTAACAGAAATGGAATTACGAACCATCATAACACGCACATCTGGACCGAAGAAAACTCGCACGCAGATAAAGTCTCTCATCACCAGAAAAATTTTAAAGTCAATGTTGGGACGGGAATTGTGGATAATAACCTAATAGGGAGAGTATTTCTTCCAAACAATTTAAACAGTGAATTATTTACACTTTTTACAAATTGTGTTATCAGAGCACTTAGACGAGGTCAATCTCGCCGTCAGGAAAAATATGTGGTTTTTACAGGATGCTGCTCCAGCGCATCACCATAATGAAATAAGAGAATATCTTTTCGATTAGTATCCTGGACGTTGAATTGGAAGGAGCCCTGATGCGCATATTTCTTGGCTCATTTTCAATACAAAATCTCTAACAGTTTTCGACATATTAAAAAAAAATAGATTTTTATTTTCTAACTTCAAAGGGCTGTAATTTTGTGCTAAGGTAAATCGAACTATTTTTGGTCCCAGAATACACGATTTCATTTATGACCTTCCTTTTTGGTACACCCTTACACCATATATATATATATATATATATATATATATATATATATATATATATATATATATATATATATATGTATATATATATATATATATATATAAAAATATTCAATAGTTGAATATCAGAGGTTGTATCGGTCAATAATAGGCAAATGAAAGACGTCAACTACTTCATTGATTTAATCGAATACGTTTCGCTTTTTAGTTTTCAAAAGCATCATCAGTTCACTACAAATAAAAATAAAACGATGTAAAACATAAGTAAATAACCAAAAGGGTTCATACTTACAAAAACAATTTGTAGGTTTTGTAAAAGATGTTAAAAACACTCTACGATAACTTAACATTAAAAAATTTAAAAACTAAACGATAGACTCGAAACAAAAACCACACAGGAAAAAACTGAAACAGCACTATTGTTTATTTAATTTTTACCGATGGCTTCATCTCAATGTGGGTGTAAGCTCTTTCGACGACCCAACACAATAATCTCTTGGAATGTTTTCTATCGGTTTTAGGCTGTCATATTTGCACATGTGGCATGTGTCGTCCATACGTTTCTTCGGAAAGCAGTGAGGTACAATTATTAAAAAAGTTAGTAAGCAGAACGGGGACAGCCCTATTTTTCAAAAAGGAATATTTTTTTCTACTGAAAAAAAAAAAAAAAATATTTTGAAAATAGGGAAAGAAGAAGGGGAATGAAGTTACTATCTTGTAAGTGTTTATTTTTTAATTATTATTTGTTGTGTATGATGAGAGAGTGATATATCTGGCTCAAGTTGTCAATGTCGGTTCTTTTATTTAGGGATGATGGATGTTTAAGAATTTGACACATTTCAAGGATAGAACGCTTATGATAATTTTTTTGTTTGCACAGTATTTTGGTATTAGTGAAGTCGATACTGTGTTTGGTTGAAATGGCATGTTGTGCAAGGGCACAGGATGGTTTTGAAATCCTAATGTCGCTTTTATGGGACGTTAGTCGACCTTGAAGAGAACGGCTGGTCTGGCCAATGTAGCAGGAGTTGCACTCCGCACAGGGTACATTATAGACGACGTTAGTTTGTTCTAGAGGGGCCAATGGAGTTTTTGTCTTAGAAAATAACTTTCCTACGGTTCTGGTGTTTTTTAAAGCTATTTTGACAGGTAAGTTTTGGAAAAGTTTGATTAGCTTGTTCGTGATTTGTGGGAAGTACGGGAGCGAAGCATATTATATGGTTTGTTCAGGAGTGAGAGGGGACTCATTCATTTGTATTCTGTTAGAGATGGACGCTAATGTTAGCCCGTTGGGTGTTTCAGTGATGGACTGCCCATAGCTTTTGGAATATAGAAATTTATTGATAATGGATGCCGGATAGGAGTTATCTATTAGAATAGACTTCAGTAGATTGAGAGATTCTTCTTTGTAAAGCGGTAAACTTAACCTGGTACAAGCCCTCAGCCTTAGAGTACACATGTTGACACATCCGCTTTACAAAGAAGAATCTCTCAATCTACTGAAGTCTATTCTAATAGATAACTCCTATCCGGCATCCATTATCAATAAATTTCTATATTCCAAAAGCTATGGGCAGTCCATCACTGAAACACCCAACGGGCTAACATTAGCGTCCATCTCTAACAGAATACAAATGAATGAGTCCCCTCTCACTCCTGAACAAACCACAAAATATGCTTCGCTCCCGTACTTCCCACAAATCACGAACAAGCTAATCAAACTTTTCCAAAACTTACCTGTCAAAATAGCTTTAAAAAACACCAGAACCGTAGGAAAGTTATTTTCTAAGACAAAAACTCCATTGGCCCCTCTAGAACAAACTAACGTCGTCTATAATGTACCCTGTGCGGAGTGCAACTCCTGCTACATTGGCCAGACCAGCCGTTCTCTTCAAGGTCGACTAACGTCCCATAAAAGCGACATTAGGATTTCAAAACCATCCTGTGCCCTTGTACAACATGCCATTTCAACCAAACACAGTATCGACTTCACTAATACCAAAATACTGTGCAAACAAAAAAATTATCATAAGCGTTCTATCCTTGAAATGTGTCAAATTCTTAAACATCCATCATCCCTAAATAAAAGAACCGACATTGACAACTTGAGCCAGATATATCACTCTCTCATCATACACAACAAATAATAATTAAAAAATAAACACTTACAAGATAGTAACTTCATTCCCCTTCTTCTTTCCCTATTTTCAAAATATTTTTTTTTTTTTTTTCAGTAGAAAAAAATATTCCTTTTTGAAAAATAGGGCTGTCTCCGTTCTGCTTACTAACTTTTTTAATAATTGTACCTCACTGCTTTCCGAAGAAACGTATGGACGACACATGCCACATGTGCAAATATGACAGCCTAAAACCGATAGAAAACATTCCAAGAGATTATTGTGTTGGGTCGTCGAAAGAGCTTACACCCACATTGAGATGAAGCCATCGGTAAAAATTAAATAAACAATAGTGCTGTTTCAGTTTTTTCCTGTGTGTTTTTTGTTTCGAGTCTATCGTTTAGTTTTTAAATTTTTTAATGTTAAGTTATCGTAGAGTGTTTTTAACATCTTTTACAAAACCTACAAATTGTTTTGTAAGTATGAACCCTTTTGGTTATTTACTTATGTTTTACATCGTTTTATTTTTATTTGTAGTGAACTGATGATGCTTTTGAAAACTAAAAAGCGAAACGTATTCGATTAAATCAATGAAGTAGTTGACGACTTTCATTTGCCTATTATTGACCGATACAACCTCTGATATTCAACTATTGAATATTTTTTAAATTTAATCAACGGTCGTATTTTTTGCTATATATATTATATATAATATATATATATATATATATATATATATATCGCATTTTTCATATAAAAAAAGCTTGCACGTTATTTAAGATTTACATCGTCAGAACCCCGCAGCGTTGCCAAAACATCAGGATAGTTAGTAAGTGACGAATTTTTAAAATGTCAACCATTTGTCAAAACATTATATTAACAGTAAATACACTTAGTTTTAACACTACTGCAACACATTAAAATACATAAGAAAACATTTTAATAAAAAATTATATATTCTAAATTTTAAACTTACCTCTTTTAGGCCTTTAATAGTAAAAACGTCCTTGCCATTATTCCTTGTTCAAAATAATCTATTTTATATGAAAGCTTATCAGCTTTCTACAGACCATTTATTTGTTTTGGCATATCACAATTACAATACACAACAATAATTAGTTTTTAAAGCTATTAATCTAAATTTAATATGTATTTATAAATACAATTTATTAATATATATTATATTATGATCAAATTGTGTAAGAAATCAAAACATAAACAATTTTCCTACTCTAAAGAAGCGGCAACACTTAATACACTTTTGCCACGCGCTGAACTGTCAATAAGAATTGAAGTATTTCCGTATCAGTTGCGTACAATTGTCTAATATATTTAATTAACATTATTATTTTGTGGAATATTAAACTGAAAGAGTTATTTCATAAAATTTATATTATTAATAATAACAAATGTTTTTCGTTATTTAATTAATATAATTATAAAATTTACAATATAATGATGATTACATTTTTCTGATTATTACACCATGCTGACGCCTATGAAAGATCGAGCAGTTCCGTATGGGTTTCGTATTATTAGCTGTGTTAGGAAAATATGAACTCTAAGGTTGATGTTCTGCAAATTTTAAATACAAATGACGTCACTTTGTATAAATCATGAGGTTTCCAGAACAACAACTTACAACTTTCCTGTTATGTATATATATATATATATATATATATATATATATATATTATATATATATATATATATTTATATATATATATATTTATATATATATATATATATATATAAATAAATATATGTATATATAAATATATATATATACTTATCTATATATATATATATACATATATATATATATATATATATATATATATATATATTATATATATATATATATGTATGTATGACACTAATTTTTTTGTTTCATTACATTCTAGGTTACCAAATGGCCATATCAATTTCGATAAATTCTGGCAACTAGCAAAACAAGTAACAGAGTTTATGGCATGGAAGCAAGTAACCTGCCCATTTGAAAAGGATCCCAAAGTGATAAATCTTCTTCAACATGGTCCAATACTTAATGAAAACGCTCTGGCTCTGGCTAGTTTCGAGTGCGAACCTCCAGATAACAATCAGGAAAAGGAACGATGCAAAACACTTAAAGCTGATCCTTCTGCCAATTAAATAGGAGATACGATAGGGGTGTACATGTGAGGTGGTTGATATTATTAGCTAACTTCCGCTTATCCTATTTTTGTACAGTCGGATCAAAATATAACAATTTTTCTCGTTTTAAACGCATGTATAATGTTTATGTAAACAATTGATTGTGTTATAATCTGTCTACTACTATTTTTTAGTTAACTCAATTAAAAACAAAGAAAAACAAAATAAAGTAATCGTCAAATTTATAAATCCAAGTTGTGAATTAAAATCTAAAGATGGATTAAACAACACTTCTCATCGCAATAATAATGTTGACCACGTATAATTCTGTACTTGACATATATTACGTATGAGATTTTTCTCTTTCTTATCCGTTACAGTATCCCTTAATTCCTTTTACCTTCGTTTTAGCAACTGTATTTTTAAATGATAAGTTATCTCTATTCGTCCTCTAATTTTTTACCACTTAGACTTTTGTAATGTATATGTTTATGGAACACAGTAGTAGGATTGTATCAAGTTAACTACTTGTTTTCAATACTTTTCTCTATCATTTCTATAAATTAAGTAGACGTTAAACCGCGTCAGATTTTAAAGATAAAATATTTCCAATAAAATTTATGTTGTGTCTTTCCACCCTTTTTTCTTTACCACTTAGACTTTTGGTAATGTATGTGTTTAATGGAACACATCTCAATTTGTTACCGGCGGCGTGTGTTTTTTATGGAACAATATTAAAGGTTTTCAAAATTATATTAAATTCCAAGTATGTTGTAAGGAAAACGTTTTATTACATTTTTAACGTAAGTAAATGTTTTTTTAAAAATATGCTTACATATTGTAACTGACTGTATAAAAATATAGATATAATATAAAAATTGCCAATTTTGAATTTTTATTGTATCATTTCATGTACAAAGTTTGTTGTAAATTTTTGTTGTTTTATTGTTTTTCAGTAAAATGAATTGATGTACATAATTATATATAATTTTAAATCATTCAGATAGAATTTTATTTTTTTATAAAATGGTTTAATTTTACTCAGTCGGATTGTGATTTCTGTATTGTTTTGATGTTATTATTCGTGATTTTTATGCACAACTCATTATGTTTTATAATTTTGTGAATTATGCATTCCACAGTTTGGATAATTACTCAAATTACTGCTAATGAAAACGAAGGTTTAATATGCCATTTAAAACTATTTATACTTGTTTTTAAATAGTTTAAAAAACTATACAAGTAGTTAACAACTATTTGTTATGAACAAATAAAGAAAAACAGGTGATAGAAATTAGTTAGTTTAAGAAAGGGTTTTTTTAATTATATAATATAATTTCTGTCATTTTCCGCATTTGACTATGCGGTAAATAATTTTGGTTGTAGTTTTATGCCACAGGTTAACATATTTGGTCAATAAGAATTCGCCAAAACGGACACAAACCTTCTGTCTCAAAAGGAAGCAAAATAATTAAAGGATGAACACCTGGAAATATACAAAAACAGTGTATTCCATCTGAGAAACCAACACACAAAACAGAGAAATATGTATGTATGTATGTATGTATATATATATATATATATATATATATATATATATATATATATATGTATATAATAACTGCTAGGCATAAGGTAGGGATGTACCTTAATATTACCTTATATATATATATATATATATATATATATATATATATATATATATATATATATATTGTAATTTTTAATTTAAATGATTGAGTAGTAAATAAAATATTTATTACTCAATCACGATCGTTTTTAGAGTGTTGTTTTCTCAACGTGCAGCTCAAGCACTTGCAATCATTTTTCACAAAATCGATTTATAGGTGATCTGATGAGCGTGATCAATCGATTTCAAAACTCTAGTTTCTCAATTTAGTATTAATTATTGCCGTTCAATATTTCGACGACTGATTGCTGTTTTCATTTTTTGCGTCTTTTACAAACATCAAACTAACTCAGTTAATTACGATACGAGGACAATAAACTACTTCTGGTCTTTATAGTTTATTCGTCTTCCGGGTTTGGACCGTGTCATTTGTGAGTGACCCAAAAGTGGGTTCATCTCGACGTTTCGCTACAATTGTATGTAGCTTCTTCAGGAGAACAAAGAAAAAGAAAAAGAAGACAGGAAGATGGGTAGTTAGCAACGGTAACTCAGTTACTCAACGCAACCAGAGGCGAATACTAACTACCAAGATGGGCATTTGGTCACAGTAACTCAACTACTCAACGCAGCCAGAGGTGAAAACCAAATGCCAGGACAGGGATTCACGTCCAATAGCTCAGAACACTAACGCGTTGAGAGGCGGGGAGTGAATCCCGGATTCTGAGCTGTTGGACGTGTATCCCTGTCCTGGCATTTGGTTTTCACCTCTGGCTGCGTTGAGTAGTTGAGTTACTGTGACCAAATGCCCATCTTGGTAGTTAGTATTCGCCTCTGGTTGCGTTGAGTAACTGAGTTACCGTTGCTAACTACCCATCTTCCTGTCTTCTTTTTCTTTGTTCTCCTGAAGAAGCTACATACAATTGTAGCGAAACGTCGAGATGAACCTACTTTTGGGTCACTCACAAATGACACGGTCCAAACCCGGAAGACGAATAAACTATAATTCTGACTCTGGCCGTGGAAGCCTACGATTTCATACTTCTGCTCTTACCGATTGAACAAAATTTCAAACTTTTCTGGTCACTTTATTTTGCTTTTTATATTATTTAAAAACACGTTTATGTTTCAGCTACTAGTTTATATTCACTGATTAGTATTAGTTTTCATGATTTATATGTATTCAAATAAAACAATAGTTTATCCTTCGTCTATTATTAGTGGCAAACGAGAAATATTTTTGTTAAAACTGGTTTGGTGTATATATACAGGATGTATATGCTTCTCACTTTTTGGGGTCTCAAAACATTTTATTGGAGCAATATAATATTAAATTTTTAAGTAAGAAAATATACTTAACTTTATAGTTTTTATGTGACAGAATTAGTACGATGATACTTGATTCTTTGGTGTCCCGCTGGTGGGTACACTGAAAGTTATGTTTTACCATTTTTTTATGATTTTTATTTAAGACAATACAGATTAAAATTGTCAGATCACTGTTTTAAGTGGTTTGAGTTATGCATATTTTCTTTCAATAAAATTTTTCGTATAATTCAGAATGGCTAAAAACAATCACATAGTTCTAATTATTTACGAAAAATTAAAAAAATGAGATCTTGTTTACGAAAAAGTTAACATATTTTTTTGTGAGTAGTTGTTGTACACTCAAAACTTTTAACCTATTACATTGAAAGTTGTCAATTTATACCTAAATGTGTGGCAAGTGTAAAAATATACATCTATTCTCTCGTCCTTTGTAGATATTTCTAGTACATGATTGTTGGCATCTAATTATTCTTGTATGTAGTTCATCTAATGCACAAGTTGTTTCGGGTCTCTTGACTGTTTCTGTACCTTTTTGTGTCGTATATGGCCTCTATTCTGCTATATTATTACCATATTATTGTAAAATTGGTCACAGATGAACTCAGTGTCTTAATGGTTGCTCAACGATGGAATTTTAGAAACTCTAAAAATCTACATTGTTCTTGTTTTTTAATTTTCCCTATAATGTGCAAACAAATCGTTTTACTTTTACTATTTATAGCAGATATTTACAGCAAAAAATGTTTTGAGTATATACGTCAATATTGAAATACCTAATAAAATGTGATTGTTTTGAATATTTAGTGTATTTGTATGTAATTGTAATTACAATGTAATTACAATGTAAAAATTTATTCTCACTTCACTTGCAAATGAATACGAAGAAATGTTAAGCTCCAAAAAAATGCGAAACCAAAATGTATGTTTCATTTATTTTAATATCGTTACACTTGTAATACTTTTGTATGCGTCATCAGATACATATGTTGAAAATATATTACATAGTAACGTAATAGTTTTTATATATGTAACAAAGTGTTCTAATATTTTATATTTGCATGCCTATGTCATATTAAAAATAATACTTAATTTATAACATTTTACAAAACCGGTTTTGTACCTACCGATTTGTAGTAATAATTTTGTACCTCAGTGATTTTATAAATATGTATAGAAACATTTTATCTATCCATTGTTTAAAAAAGTTGGTAAAGCACATATCTGACAGTATTTGTTTACTTTTAATTGTATTTTTTATATGTTTACTTACTTCAGTACTTTTTATGTTATTAAAAATAACATGTATTATTACAGTGATATATATATATATATATATATATATATATATATATATATATATATATATATATATATATATATATATATAATTACCTTTTTCATATTGCACTTTCTTATTGAGCCTATGTTTCTGTGTAACTCTGTTAAATCGTTTTACATATGGAATTTTAGAAATTGATTACTGTCCTGTTTTGGCTTCCAAGTGATTTGTTCCAGCTGGGAAAAATCTCTTGGAAGCGGTTGCTTAGTGTGTCATGGATTAATTTATTCGTATCGATACTTCTCAATAGTGTGTAACAATAATTTTATATTAAATATTATGTTTTTATGGAATTAAGCCACAGTTGATTGTATCTTTTATTAACGATTTCCGAAGTGGAAATCGAAACGTCAAGTATTAGTAAAAAATGTAATTGTCACTATAATCGACTGTGGTTTAATCCCATACAAATATAATATTTAACTTAGACATGCCACTGGAAAAATTTCAGAACCTTTTAAATAATTTTATCGTTGGAGACAGAACATTATTGTAATATGAAACGTGAGTTGTGCCAAACAGGTAAAGAAAGGAACCCAGATTTTTTTAAACATAGGTTAGAAAGTTTATAATGTACTTAATACTATTGACCAATGTAATAACAGTATTCGTCTCGAATTAAGGAATATTTAAAATGTCAAGATTACGGACCATTCTTGCAGATAAAAAGATCAATAAAATTTGTTAGAATTTAAATGTAAAGGACATGATGCTCATTTATCTAATAATAATCGGAAGTTACACTTTTTGTGCTGCTATTATTTTATTTTAATTTATCATATTTATTATAAAATAAAATATTATTTCAATGTTAATAGTTGCTGCACAAACGGAAAATATAAGCTGTTTCAAGTATTACGATAAATTGGAAAGTAAATACAATATTCTGTAATTCAAATTTGATTCCAGCTTAGTTTACACTTGCTTTTATTTAATATATTTGGAATATTACAGTATTGGATATAAACTGTTAGCAAGAATTCATTAAATTTGACCGTGATTGACGC